AGACACACAGAGACATCAAGACTCAACATATGAATCTCAACAATCAAAAGCTTCATGCTGCAATGCATGCTGGGTACCAGCACAGTCCAAAACTCAACATAACTCCCAGCATGCATTGCAGCATGGATAAATTAAGCCACTGAATTGTCCACTTATTTCTTTAATTCTTACTATGTGCTTTTATTTTTGCTTTTGTGTTGAGTTTTAGTAGTGTGTTATGTGATGTTCGGAGTTGATCTAATTATTTATTTTGTTGATTGTCACCGTTGTTGAGATTCATACGCTGATTCTTGATGTGTTTTATAGCATGTCTGAGTGCTTTCGTTGAGAAAGTTGTGTTTAACATTATTTCATAACAGCCTGCTCATTATTTTGCTGTAATGTCTTATTAGAACATTGTTTTTGATAACAGACGAGACACTGGACAAAATCAGGGAACCTGGTGATTATGTCATTAGAAAAACATATTTAATGCTATTACATATTTGGTCTCAGTCCTTTTAGCCACAACAAATGTGTTTAAAAACGCTTGGCTGTTACAGTCAAACTAGAGTTAGTTACAAAGTCGAGGTTCAAGAGCCCAACTAAAGCAAACACTGATCTCCGTCATTGTAGTGCCCAAAAACAGCAACAACATCTAAATCTGTTCATTCTCAATAAGCCCTTCTGTAGATGTCTGACAGAAATGAAATGTTTGTGGAGGTGTTTAATCAGATCTTGAGAGATTTAATGTCTTCTTTTATTTCCGGTGATTTCATCTCAGGCTGTGGCTGAAGTCAGAGTTCTTGTGTGTGTTTCTCTTTTCTTCAGTGATTCTGCTTGTTAACAGCAGCTGTTCATCACTAATGCACACTTAATTAATCAGAATTATCTCATTAACTTCACTGCTTCAGTGTTACTCTAACACTGTAGTGTGCACACATTATAAGTGTTCATTAAAGGGGTCATATGATGCGATTTAAATTGTTCCTTTCTCTTTGGAGTGTTACAAGCTCTTGGTGCATAAAGAAGATCTGTAAAGTTGCAAAGACTAAAGTATGAGGACATGTATGAAATCAACCTCATGTTTCGTAACAGAAAGTCATATTTTGATTTGAAACCCCATAACATTTTCCTGAGATGTTGATTTATGACACACAGTTTAAAAATTTGTCAGATTTAAATGACAATTACAAAATATTATCATATTTCCATAAGAGTGTCACTAAATTAATATCAGACATTTTTGAAGACCAAGGAGAGGGGGTGGTCATGGTGAAACATCCAAACATTTAGTATCTCTGAAAAGCCCTGAATGTGCTCTGTACAGGACATTCAGACTTAAAACTGTGGCATGTATAGTCTCAGAGAAATACACCAAAATATAATGTACTCATATGAGGATGCAGGGTCTCAGGAGGTTAATGCTCACCCTATTTTGGGTAAAAATAGGAAAGATAATACTTTTTTTAAAAGAAACAGGATTCCCTGAATTGTCATTGATATCGTTATCGTAATAAATACCAGAAATATTGTGATATATTTTTAAGCCCATATTGCCCATCCCTACTACACCCTCATTCACTATTCCCTACGTGAGTTTACTAATATAGTCCACCTGACAGAGAGAATGAAAACTAATGAGTGAATTCAGACAATGATGAACAGCTGCTGTTAACAAGCAGAATCACTAAAGAAAAGAGCAAGAAGTGAAACTACAACTGAGATACAGCCACAGATTTTGATGAAATCAACTGAAATAAAACAGCAGAAGATGCTTAAACAACTTCACAAACAGCATCACCAGCTTCACACATTACAGTCTGACTTTATTTCAGTCATATATCTACACAAATTCTTTGTGAATTAACAGAAGTTCAGATGTTTTATTGAAAACGTTTAGTTTGACCTCACTATTGTGGTGATCAGTGTTTGCTTTAGTTGAGCACTTGACCCTTGACTTTTTAAATTTAGTCTGTTTCTGACTGTTGTACCTGTGTTTATGAAGCACATTTTTTTATAGCATGAAAAGCCAAGATAAATGTGATTAATTGGTTTTGGTTAATTGGAACTGATGGTGAAATCATCATCAAATGGTTGAATTCAGAGATCCCATTCAGTGGCCAATCTGGATTTTTTATTTATTTATAGTGATGTGTTTAATGATATTTCATAACAGCCTGCTCATTATTTTGCTGTAATGTCTTATTAGAACATTGTTTTTGATAACAGACGAGACACTGGACAAAATCAGGGAACCTGGTGATTATGTCATTAGAAAAACATATTTAATGCTATTACATATTTGGTCTCAGTCCTTTTAGCCACAACAAATGTGTTTAAAAACGCTTGGCTGTTACAGTCAAACTAGAGTTAGAGTTATATAGTCAAGGTTCAAGAGCCCAACTAAAGCAAACACTGATCTTCGTCATTGTAGTGCCCAAAAACAGCAACAACATCTAAATCTCTGTTAATTCTCAATAAGCCCTTCTGTAGACGTCTGACAGAAATGAAATATTTGTGGAGTTGTTTAATCAGATCTTGAGAGATTTAATGTCTTCTTTTATTTCAGGTGATTTCATCTCAGGCTGTGGCTGAAGTCAGTTGTAGTTCTCGTGTTTCTCTTTCGTTCAGTGATTCTGCTTATTGTTAACAGCAGCTGTTCATCACTAATGCTCACTTAATTAATCAGAATGATCTCATTAACTTCACTGCTTCAGTGTTACTCTAACACTGTAGTGTGCACACATTATAAGTGTTCATTAAAGGGGTCATATGATGCGATTTAAATTGTTCCTTTCTCTTTGGAGTGTTACAAGCTCTTGGTGCATAAAGAAGATCTGTAAAGTTGCAAAGACTAAAGTCTCAAATCCAAAGAGATATTCTTTATAAAAGTTAAGAGTCAGCCACGCCTACCTAAAACGGCTCGTTCTAACACGCCCCACATGTCTACCTCACTATGTGGGAAGATTTAAGAAATTTAAAGAAATTAATCATGTATCTCTTAAGAGTGTGTTCAAAGTCTGTCTTGAGCTCCAGAAAACCAGTAATGATTGCGGCTTTGACAGTTACAGATTTGAAAAACAAAAAGGCGGGAAAAAAGAACCCTAAACTCTAAAGCAAAGAATCATCTCAGCATATAAAAGGTTCTTCAGGAGGATACGGTTCTAAAAAGAGCTGTTTCTACATGTAAAGAACCTTTAAAGAACCATCTTTTTTTAGAGTGTAGCTTTGTAAACACAAGAACATTCCAAAACGTTTTATAAAAAAACATTACACCACCTCAGGCCTCAATTACGTCCTTATAATGTTCTCCTAATGTGGCTGAGAGAATGTTCTTTCTTTGTTATCTTGAAACATTGTGCCAATGTTTTATTGAGAACATTATATAATCTGTTACCTCAACAACATCCACAAAACATCCTCAAAATGTTGCAGGTCAAATGTTCTAGCTTTGTTTACACTTAACGTTTTAGGAACATTATCTGAAATGAGAAACATTCTTAAAACATTTTTTGAACATTACATTCAAATGTTTTCTCTAAAACATCAACCAAACCTGTACGGAATGTTAGCCAAAGTTCAGAGAACGTTCCCTGCTGGCTGGGCCCTCGTTGAATCAGACTCCTTTCATTTTGAATAATGTTGTTACAATTAAATATCATAAGAACAGTAATGATATCTGCTTTGCTCTGTTCTGTTTAGCCTAGGGGGGTTGTTTTTGCCCACAACAGAACCATGCCGCCAAACCACACTGTATGCTAAGTGTCGATCAGTTTATCGATAGTGGTCCTGACAGAAATAAAGTTATTGTCTCTCAAAAGAAAGAGTCGACTCTGAATCACCAAAATTAGTCGTTTTAAATTTGATTCCCATTTCCGTGAAGTTCACATGAAGTTCACAAGTTACCACATTTGCACAATGGCCACCTGCGTTCTGCGTGAACATCCTACGAAAAATCTCCGTCCACATAAAAACACAAACGCATGCTATGAAGCACTGTCAAGAGCATGCCAAACCAACAGGTGGCGATATAATCTCAACCGTGAAGCCATGTTGGCCAATCAGAAGCCTGAAAAAGCCTCCAGTAGGCGGAGATAACAGCGCAGGCTCTGATGTCACAAGCCAAAACCTCTACACAATAACACTGCAACCAGAGTTTCTGAACATCTTCGGCAGGAGTTTTCAAAAATGTTCGGTTTCAGTGACCTGGTGCTGCATTTGCGTGCTTTTTAGATCTACAGTATTAGGAGATTTACTATAAGCTTTTCATTTTTCATTGTTTATTTAACTCTCAGTAACAGGTTTGTTTTGAATCTGTTCAGTTTGGTTGTCTACACTACCATTTAAAAGTTTGTGGTCAGTAGGATTTTTTAAAATAAATTAATACTTTTATTCAGCAAGGAGACATTCAATTAATAAAAAATGACAGTAAAATTATTTGTATTGTTACAAAAGATTTATTTATAAATAAATGCTGTTCTTTTAAGCTTTCAATTCATCATAGAATCCTAGTTTCCACAAAAATATTAAGCAGCATATCGACATTTTCAATTGTATTAATATAGAAAGCAGTAATTTCAAATGATATAATAATAATTATATTTCACAATATTGGACTACTGTTTTTACTCTATTTTTGATCAAATTAATGCAGCATTGGTGAGCATTTTCTTTGAAAAGATTTTCTTTTAAACTTTAAAAAATCTTACCAGCCCCAAACTTTTGAAAGGTAGTGTACTTTATTTTAAAAAAGCTAATTCTATACTAATTTACTTAGGGATGCATTGATTTTACATTTTAGACTAAAACCGATAATAATTTTCATGTTACGGCCAAATAACCAATAAATGTCTTATATTAAAACTCTATATTATTTTATTTAAATATATTAAAATAAAACACTAAAAACTACACTGAGTCATTTTAAGTGCTACAAGTGCATTTAGGCACTGCAACATTATAATATACAGTGTGAAAATTAATATTTATTTTGACATATGCTAAATATTGCTAAAGAAACATTTAACAGTGTTATTAAATTGTTAAGGTTATGTAACATTATTAACGTAATATTAACAAAAAATGATTTTTTAAAATAAATTAATACTTTTATTCAGCAAGGAGACATTCAATTAATAAAAAATGACAGTAAAATTATTTGTATTGTTACAAAAGATTTATTTATAAATAAATGCTGTTCTTTTAAGCTTTCAATTCATCATAGAATCCTAGTTTCCACAAAAATATTAAGCAGCATATCGACATTTTCAATTGTATTAATATAGAAAGCAGTAATTTCAAATGATATAATAATAATTATATTTCACAATATTGGACTACTGTTTTTACTCTATTTTTGATCAAATTAATGCAGCATTGGTGAGCATTTTCTTTGAAAAGATTTTCTTTTAAACTTTAAAAAATCTTACCAGCCCCAAACTTTTGAAAGGTAGTGTACTTTATTTTAAAAAAGCTAATTCTATACTAATTTACTTAGGGATGCATTGATTTTACATTTTAGACTAAAACCGATAATAATTTTCATGTTACGGCCAAATAACCAATAAATGTCTTATATTAAAACTCTATATTATTTTATTTAAATATATTAAAATAAAACACTAAAAACTACACTGAGTCATTTTAAGTGCTACAAGTGCATTTAGGCACTGCAATATTATAATATACAGTGTGAAAATTAATATTTATTTTGACATATGCTAAATATTGCTAAAGAAACATTTAACAGTGTTATTAAATTGTTAAGGTTATGTAACATTATTAACGTAATATTAACAAAAAATAATAAATGTAATTAAAAAGTGAGCATTAGATCACTGCAAAAGGTAATCTAAATGTAAAATGAGAAAATGTGCACAATTAAATACCAATAAACCTGAAAATCTCTAGTATCATCTGATAACCAATATCATTAATGTGCATCCTTACAGACACCTGTGTAAGAAACTCGACTTCATTTGTCCAGTCTTTTAATCTAGTCTTGACTTCTCTCACCACCTTCTGCAGGAGAAAGTGTCAAGGGTAGAACGAGTGGTGGGGGAGCATCAGCTTTTTTCACAGGGCCTTCAGGAACTTCAGAACTGGGTTTCAGAGTCCCAACAGGTCCTCAAGACCTGCTGATGCCCCACATCTGACAAGAGTGAAGTACAGTACAGGATGCGTTTCAGTAAATATACATGGATATTATTACAGTGCTATGTTTATAAACAGCTATTTCTTTGTTTCACATTCTGAAGACCAGATAGCAGTCGTGAGCCCGTGGCAGAAGCAGTTAGCGTGGAGCTAGCGGCGCAGCTCGCGTCTGATCTTCAGGAGGCAGCAGGATGCTGAGGCAGAGGTGATGCAGGGGACTAAAATTATGCACATAAATGGAATGATATAAAGATAGAGGATGTGGATTCTGTTTTAGAGTGTAATAATCCACATGGATTTTACAATTTATAGAGTCTTGTGTCTCCTGAAAGAAAAAAACTGATTTTATAAAACACAAAATTTAATATTTGGTATAATTCACTTATGCAATTTTGCATATTACTAACTAGACAAACATAAAAATGAAACATAATTCAGTCAATAATCAAGAAAATAGGATTCTGGGGGCAGTATGCTTTATAAAACCTGTTTTTGCAAAGGAAACTCACAAAGACACAAAGATTAGATGCAAAAAAGGGAAATTTTACTCTCTTCGGTTAGAATTCAATAACTCCTGTTTAGAAACTCCTGGTTATTTGAAAGATTCTTTTTTTCTGTACACTGTAAAAAATTGTGCCGTTAAATAACAGTAATTTACTGGCAGCAGGGTTGCCAGTAAGGTACTGTTAATTTACAGCTTTCAACCGTTAATTTACAACTCTAAATTTTTACAGTGTTTTACCGTAATTCTACCATGGAAATGAACTCTGCTCCCATTGCTTCAAACAGCTCGAGTTTAAAAACTAGCGTTCATACGATATTAGTACTGTGAACTTATTTCATTTGAGTCCACTGAGAAAGAATATTTCTTAGTATAAAATTGCAAACACTTAACGTGTAACAGCAAATTAACTAAAAACATGACTTTAACTCAAACCGTTGCAGTTCATTGCTAGCGATAGCACACGTGTGAAACGAAGTAACAAAGAGATCATTACTGTATCAGCAACTCCGGTACCCAGCATGCATTGCAGCATGAAGCTTTTGATTGTCACCATTGTTGAGATTCATGTGCTGATTCTTGATGTCTCTGTGTGTCGAATAGATGCCGTAGATTTAAAGCCTTTGAACATAAGAAGTTTTCAAAATCCATCATAATTGTCTATCATAAGCTCAGCTGGCAGTGTCATATAGCTATTGTAAATAGCATGAAACAATGAAAACCCACACTATATTTTTAAAGATCAGCCACTGAACGAGATCAGTGAATCAGGCCATAAAATGATGATTACACCATCATCAATAATTAACTAGAACCATTTAATCACAATTTTTCTACTCTTTGATTGCTGTACCAGATGTGTTTTACAAACACAGTTACAACAACCAGACAAGCAAGTTTAGGCGAAAATACACAAAAACGCCCAAGAGCTTAAGGGGATTTATTAAGAAGCGAGTCCTTTGAAGGGGGATCGTCATATATATAACATCATCCCTGGCATCAAACCATCTGAAAGAGTATTTCTTTTGACGTGCATTTGTGAATTGAGTGTGTGGATTTGATATCCATATGCAGAACTCACAAAGCTTTCACTGGGTGGATAAAAGATAGAAATCATTTTCACTTCTCTAATGAATGAAAGCATTTTGAACTAACTCAGTCCTCCTGTGATTATAATGCTGATATCTGGGCTGTCATGTTCACTGGATCCTCATGAAAACAGCATGTATGAAGCTGGGAGACACTGACCTGCAGTAAAGCCAGAAATATAACCTACTCCAGAGATAGAAACCTGCTTGGAGAATGAAGAAAGACTGGTTTCGTTTGTTTTGCCGAGTTGGTGCTTGTTGAACTATTTCTGAAGAAAAACTCTCCCACATCCCCAGACGAGTTTCACAGTTCAACAAAACACCAGGTCAGAGAAACAAAAAACATCTACAAATGCCATTATTCATGGCCAGTCATTTGTTTAGTTTTGAAAGTCATAAGTTATTGGTATTCATTATATTTCTAAACTGGGATTAAAAATAGTTATTTACCAGAAAAAAAGAAAAAGAAATCAAAGATGTTATAATTTAGACTTTTTTTTCCAAGTTTTCCTTGAGCATTATCATATCAGTGAATGATTAGTATTCAGCTCAAAGCTCCATGTGTTTCTTAATTGTGCATCTTGTCTTGTTCAGCCTTGATTATGAGACTCATTCATTTAGTGTTTGTTCCTGAGTGTAAAGCCACAACCACAGATGGTCGCACTAGACTAACATGTGAATTATCTACAGACACAGCAACGGTTGTAATATAAATGTCTTTATTTATTTATTTTTAAACATAATTCAGCATATCCCTCTATGGCATGGGGTAATGCTCAGGCAACAAACTACCTTTCTGGACCTCACACCACCCCTTTAAATTTGCATTTGCGTGTGGACATTTTTACAGTAATATATTGGCAATACTGTTGGCAGTAATTTACTGTTAATTGTGCAGTTCTTTAGTGTAGTATAGTTTACAGCATTTTACTGTAAAGATACCATGGATTAAATTAAAACTCGTGTTAACTAATTTCATTTTTAGAAACCGACTTCCTTAAACTGACCAACTGCAAATTAAGTTTATAAACGAATATGTTTAACGTTGAGCATACCTTGAACATATTGCATTTGAGCCTACTTAGAAATAAAGCAAAATAACTGAATGAAGCACAACCAGTAAAATATCACAATTAAATTTAATTTCTTACAGATAACAACTGGTTAAACACAGCACCCATGCATGTGGGTGTTGTACGGTACACTGCAACAGTGTTGCCAGTGTATTACTGTTTTTCTAAAGTGAGTTTGCCATAAAATTAATTTATAGTTTATTACTGTTAAAATAAATGTTGTGGGTGTGTCTTTTTATCTTACACGTTTAACCCTTTCAACCCCACAGGAAAATCCTGTAGTGTCCACACTACAAAGTGTAAAAATAACACTGAAGCAGGGTTGCAGTGCGATAATTCTGGCTGTGTTCGAAACCGCATACTTCCCTACTATATAGTAGGCAAAAAGCAGTAGGTGAGCAAATAAGTATGTTTGAATCTTAAGTATTCATAAAAGAATAGGCGATTAGTAGGAGTGCACTAATTCTCGCGAGATTTAGACGTACGTATACTTATTTTGCGTTCGAATATGCCTACTTACCTACTATATAGTAGGGAAAAAGAGTATGTGAAGAAGGAAGTACGTTCGAAACCTCAGTATTCATAAAAGAGTAGGCGAGAAATCCTCGGATGTCCTACTGCTTCAGCCCAGATTCTGGAGTGTGCATCAGATGGCCACTTTTCTATCCCAGGATGCCACGGGAGAGGATACATCATGAAGAAGAAGAAGAAGAGGATACGGCATCATCGAATATTGTAAAGAAGATGGACGCGGGTGTTTTCAAATGTGAGTATTACAAACCAAAGACACGGTTCCTTGTGTTAAAATTGCGTTTGTTGAGCTACTGTAGAGTAAACTGTTCAATTGTGAAAGGTGTAAAGATGCTACATAGCATAGTATATTTCTGATTTTGTCATAAAAATACATTTTATTATGAATAGCTAACAGGGGAGCTGTAGTAATCACACGTATGTCTCTCAAAGTGAATTTACATTCATTCTAACCCATATATATCTTAAATACGCGTACTAAATGTCCATTTTAACAACTGACAGGAAAATCTTAGATAAAAATGTCAGATGAGCACATGAAATAGACGTCTGAGTGAGTGCCCATCGGTACTATGATACGGTCTAAATCCTGACTGGAAATCCTCACAGATACCATTTTTCTCTAAGAAGGAATATAATTGTGAGGATACTACCTTTTCTAGTAATGTGTGCTCATACTAATGTGAGGTCAAAGTGCACTCACTGCACAGAGACTAGGTACCCAGCATTATTTGCAGCATGAAGCTTTTGATTGTCACCATTGTTGAGATTCATACACTGATTCTTGATATTTCTCTTTGTTTTTAAATGACACATTAGTTCAAAATGCTTGTGATATATCATGCTTTTAAAGTTCTTCATAAATGATTACACTGTTGGCTCCTACACTGTATAATCAAAGAGCTATTATAATTAGAAACTTTAGATTAATAACTTCTCACAAAGTTAATCTAGGTGATGATTGTGTTTTATCATCAATAACAAACCGATATCACCTAGTTACAGTCTCTTTTTGGTGTTTCTTGACATAACAATTGTGCTTTACAAACACAGTTACAGCAGCCAAAAAAAATATAATGTTATAAAGTCGAGGGTCAAGAGCCCAACTAAAGCAAACACTAATCACCTTGATGGTAGCATCAAATGAAACAATAAAACATCATCATCTAAATATCTGTTAATTCTCAATAAGCGCTTTTGTGGATGTCTGACAGAAATAAAGTCAGTCTGGTTAATAATGAGTGAAGCTGGTGATGCTGTTTGTGGAGTTGTTTAATCATTCTCTGCTGAGATCACAAAAGATTGAATGTCTTTTGTATTTCAGTTGATTTCATCGAAGGCTGTGTCTGGAAGTCAGTTGTATGTTTGGAGAAGGTTCTTATAACAAAAAACTGTTAGCTGAGTGTGCACTCATACTGTAAGAGCACTCTGATATCACTGTGATAGTGTTGAGAAACAGGATATAGAAAGCCTCCTCGGTGACCGATATTTGAACTGCCTCCTCTCAACCTGCTCAACATTTTGAATTCACAATGAGCTCACATATTACTCACACTGTGAGTATCACCGTACGAGAATGGTGTGATGTCACTGTGATCATCGCATGATCTCACGTGTTGACGGTGATGTATGTGTGCTTTTTTGCAGTAGAATTCACTGTTATCAACACTGCTTACATTAGATGTTACTGTAAGTAATGTAAATAAACAAATTTACATAAAGAAATTAAACTTAAGTTATGTTTTATTTGTCCATTAGTATTGTTGATAAATTGAGGAACATTTATGCTGGATAAAAAGCAACTTAACACATCAGCAACTACCTCAACATGTGAATGTAGTATTGAGTACATAACTCACAGAGGTGACTTGACTCTTGTCTGGATGTTACAGGGACAGATGAGACACACGTGTGTTTATCCGGTGCAGGGTGTTGCAGGAATTCTGCCATCAAAGGCTTTGATGAGTACACTACAGAAATTAATAAAACATTTTTTAAATTTTAAGTTGTAGTTTATTTTAATTATTGTAATGTCAAACAGAGTTATTACAGTACTTTTCTGATTCTTGATTTCTGTGCCTTTGCTGCAGAGCTTTTGTGGTGGAGCAGGGCCTACAAGGCAAAATTACTGCAGCATTTGTGAAAAAAAAACCTAAAACAAAAATATAAAGTAAGATAATTTTGTTACTTCTAATACAGAAATCAAATCACACTCTGCTATTAGAGTGACTGCTTTTGTGTTATGTTTGTGCATTTTTATAGGATCTGAAATGTCCGCAGACTGGCTTGGGCACTGAGGATCCTGGAAATGGTATAGTGCCATGGATGAGGCAAATGGGGGCAGACCCTCCATCACTATATATATATATATGCATACTGTGCAAAAATCATAGGCCACCACTTGCTTTGATGTTTTAGCAATGCTTTAATGAGCATCCATATTTATTTTCCACTCTCTTTATTAAGATAAAAACAGAAAATAAAGGAGATACATAAACAAAATAAATAAAAAAAATCTGAACAAAATGGCTTCATTAGGTGTACTGGCCTCGTTGAACCCACATTCAAGCAAGTCCAGCAAGTTAAACACCTTCACGCAATAACTCCCGGAACCACGAGGTGACGTTGAGAGTGTAACTTTATCACATGCATATTCTATAACAGTTCTCTATATTACGTATGAGCATAACCAATTCTTATAGTGATTACTCAACTCAACCAATGAATTCACTATACTTTCAAAAATATATTAACTTATAAAATAATATCACATGTGAAAGATGAGAAAATATACACCGCATCAGCAAGCATAAACATGCCATTCTAAATAACATCAAATAGGCATCTCTAACTACACAAAATGCACTGAACACAATCATGAGTAATGACAAACAAGATGACTTACAGGGAATGCCTTATTAATAACTTTGAACGGAGGATATCTTTGGATTAATGAATGCCCATAACATGAACGATCTCTGCCTCTGATTCAGTCTCTTTTTGATGACATCACTAATTATATAGTCTTTTACTGATGAGGTCACTTTCTAATTTCTTGCTCTACCTCATATGACCACAAGAGGTCGCTTGGCTACATGATATCACACCTGGCAATTCCAGGACAATTATCATCATTATTTTTTGTATTATTGCAGCTGATGTTATAGCAACAAAAGACACCCTCGGCTGCTATTTGTAACCAAAACGTTGCCAGGTTTTTTTGTTGTTGTTTTTTTGTTTTTACTAAAAAAGCGCCCTTGTCAACTTTTTCTTGTCAAAAAAGATGGCAAGTGTGAACACGCCCTTTTCTCTTTTTAGTTTAAGAGAACATGTAAGTGTGACCAGCTCTATTCAGGTAAGGATACTCTCCTCTTCTTCACTAAGTGACAAAGATATTGAATTTATGGTCCATTTTGTTAGATATTTTTTACTAGGGTTTATGCATAAACATACCCAGCTATCCCTTGACTTTATATTAATTTTTCCTTTTAACATTGTGAAGTGCTCACATACTACTTTTGCCCTTCATAAACCATTGTTTTCACTTAAACAAATGAAAGGAGACAAACTGTAACTCTAAACTCAATTGTGCTTTTCAGATGCTGTCACATCCTGCAACCTCATCGTCTGCAGAGAGAAACTGCCATTCAATCACACCAAAATACACATAATGATTAACTTAGAGGTATCATAGAGGATTGTGAAGATATTTCACTGGAGCTTGGTCTTCAATACACTATTTTATGTTCTATTTTGTTTTA